AGGTGTCAACGTTGGGATTCGAACCTCTTTTCTGTCGGTAATCAGACTGACATATAAGCCCTTGNCAACTTTATCAAAATTTTATGTAGGACTCTTTTATGTTTGAAGGAACATTAAATATTAATGTCAGATTTTTACCAAGTTGTACAAAACAAAAGTATTAAATTACAAATTAAAATAAGAAGTGGATTTTTAAAAATAGTAAAAATGCATATTAAAAAATTCGGGCTACAATAACTTTTACGTGCACCCATGTATTAAACAATTAATGTGCAACAGATATCTAATTGTTAAGATATAAAACTTTAAAAAAGGTTGGTATTAAAACTTACATAGTAACACACAAAATGTTCAATGACAACATTGAGGTTTGTCTGCTGCAACCACCAGAGAATAGATATTTACCTATTAAATTTAAAATTTACAAATGTGTGTGCAAATATTTTCGTCCAAAATGAGTGGTTTCAAAAAGTTTAATCAGAGAATTTCTTCGAGAAAATTTCTGATACACACATGCTAAATTATATTCACGAAATACAAAAACATGAAATAAAAAAGAGCAACATACACGATTATTTTTGTATTTGAATAAATATTTTCTTGGATGCAAAACCTGAGAAATAATTTTCTTCGCACCGTTGGTATAACAAATTTCACAGAAACGAAGAAATTAGGTTTTTATTAACGAGAAAAGTATCTTAAACCCATATAGATTTTTTTCCAAAATTGCCCGCAAAAAAATGACAACTAATATATTTCAGTTCACCGGGCACAAAAAAAGGCTTCGCTGGCCGGATGCGGCCCACGAGCCGCCAGTTGGAAGCCACTGATCTAGTTGATGTGATAAAATTCTTGCTGCTTAGCCGTATTAGGGGAAAGCAGTTAATAAACGGTTTTCTTACATTTTACAATTTGAATACCGTCTAATTTGTGGTTATTTGATTGTTTTGTTTGACTATAGTAAAATAACGATTAAATAAATTATTATCTAACCATTTTTTCCGAAAAATTTCTAACAGTAAGAGTGAGTAAAAAATAGGCATGTACGTTCGAAAGATTAATCATATTAGTGCAATTTTGAAAAATAATGTCAGTTTTGGTTATACATACATTCCCAATACTCCAGAAGCATAAAAAATATTAAGAAGTTTGATATTTTAAATTTGTAAAAATAAATTCTCCAGATTCTCAAGGCAAGTTATCGCATCTTACTTTACGATCAGAATTTTGTCGACAGTATTAAATTATATAATAATGCTAAAGCTTTATCATCAAAAAAGTATAAATATAATAAGATTCAATAATTTTTTTAAGAAGGTAATTAGAGGAAAACTGTGAAAAGAAGCATCGGTCCAAGACTCTCTTCAAAGATAAGTAAAAATTTAATATGCGAAAGCTACGAAAGATATGTTTAAAATTTTCATGAAATAACAGTTATCAAAACAAAAATGCAAGAAGCAACTAAGCATTTCTTATAGCATTATCAAAAAATTCCAATCACTTTTTAAACCATTTTAAGGATTAATTTAAGTCTCATCACTTAACCCAGCTTTTTCCAAATTGTTTCAGCTACGTAACCCTAAATAATCAATCTCCTTTTGTCGGAACCCCTACTTTATAAATAAAGTTTATTAAAGTAATTGAGAACGCTAAAACTACAAAAGATTATTTTTGAAATATTTAATTAGAGAAATGAAGATTTTCCATCGTTTTATCGTTAATAATCTTAAATTAAATTTCATGTCGGACAGTTTAATTTGTAGTTCTTGTGCTATATCTAGTCTAGTTACGAATTTGTTTTTGGTGTATTTACATAAGCAGAAAATAAATAAAATAAGCCAAATTTCTGTTTACTTCCGAAAGGAAAACTTAAAAGAACTGCTATGAATATTGGGAAATGTCTCTTAGCGAAACATATTTCGCTTATGAAGGAATTTAGCTATTTAATTTTCATGAAAAGCAAGAGAGGAAAAACTAATGCAGTATATTTTAACTTGTTCTTTCAATAATTTGTTAGGTATAGTGTTATGGAAAATATTCTATACTTTCTTAAAAAATGTTATCTCTATTTCGTTCGCATTTTGCATCAAATAATTTTGTAAAGGCAACCATAAGATTAAATACTTTATTATAGGTTAAATCAAAATATATCAGAGGTTTCAAAACTCATCACTGGTTCATTAAAAAGTACTAACTCACGGAAACCCATTTAGGAATAGCTGACCTAACCCTTTATCTATGGACGTCATTTTATTTCAAGATCCAAGCATGGTGTCGCGAAAAAAACTGGTAACTTATTTACCATTGAACTAAATAGTTATTTACTATTTTTGACAATATTATTTTTATAAACGGCGCGAACGTCTTATCCAAATATAGATATTTAAATTGCTTTTATATAAAGGTAAATAAGAGTATCCCTATTGCTTAAAAAATGCTCATACGGAAATAATTTTTAAAGGTTTAATTAATTTCTTACGGTAAAAGGTAAAAATTTACGGTTATTTACGGTAAATAATTTTTAACGAATAATTTTTTACCTTAATCGGCACTCAGGAAGCTGGTGCTTTTTACCGTAAAATCCATTTTAACCGGAACAAGTTACGGAACAAAAAAAATCTGATATTCCGTAATTTTTACAGTAATAACTACAGTAAAATCTCTGAATAACTTTTATTAAATAAACATTACTGTGAAAATTAGATATAATATCTTACTGCAAAAATGGATTTCATGAGTAAAATGAATTTTACAGATGATGCGTCCAAAGTGCCGATATTTTATAACGTACTTTTTTCCAGTATAAATATATATTTTATAACTGATTATAAGGGATACTTATAATTGCTTATAACCCCCCAGAAAAGAGCTAAAATGCAATGGTTCTACTACAAGTTGTAACTCAAAAGAGTGAAGAGTCATAAGTTGGTGTAAGTTGCTGCTGTGAGCAATGTTTCTCTATTGAAAATCTCTTTTTCCGTGAAAGAAATTAACTGGATCTTAACAAATACTGAATTTCTAGTCGACAACTATGATATTTGAAATGTAGATATGGTGATGACATGACTCTTTACAGTGTCGTTGGGATGATAACTAAGATAGTCCAGGCATTATAACTATATTTCATTCAAACTTCAATCATGCAAACGTACATGTATAAGATATAGGAATCAATGAAGATAATATTTATTTTTCTAGAGCAGGCTCTGTTGGTAATTCATTCCCTTATAGTTATAATATTGACTGAATTCTAATTTTAAAAAACCCTTTTTTTAATGTTAACTCTAATTGATCCTATTTATTTGAATTAATAACATTAATATATTTAAGAGTATTAATATACACTGGAGTAGTTCGGATGATTTTCAAATCACATTGTTTAAGAGGTTTTTTGAGTCATTAATTTAAAAGAATGCTGATTAATTGCCTTATTTAATAGTGAGACAATGTCATAAATTTAAGTGATAAAGGCAATCCATCATTATAGAGGTGGTCAGAATGATTGGTTGCCAATATTAGATGCCATTAATTGATCAAAAACGTATTAGTCACAGATTTATCCATTGTTTCATAATACACATGTATATTTAAAAACAATGCAAGAGGTGAAATGTTGTAGCATACAATTCACATTTTTATTTATTTAATTCATGCAAACAAAATTAAATTTGTAAGACTTATTTATTCAGTTAGAAAAGTTAAGTGACATAAATATATCCTGCACTAAACGAATCCCCTAAAAAGTGAAAAATTTTGTCGAACTTATTTAACTGGTTAGAAAAGATCAATGTTATAAATATATCTTACACTTAATAAATAATACCACGAACAAAGATTAAGTTTGTCAAACTTATTTAACTGGTTGAAAAAAGTTAAGTAATATATTCATATCTCACTCAAAATATATCATGCAAGCAATTAAATAACACGATGACACATAAATTAATTCTACGTATATTTTTCTCAATAAATAAATCATCCCAGATCCCACGAACAAAGATTAAAAAATTTTAAACTTCTTTAGTTGGTTAAAAATTTGCGAGATTATACATGGAATGGAACTCAGTTTTAATAAATCACCCAAACGAAAATCAAATTCGTCAGTCTTATTTAGTTTCTTACGAAAATGCAGTGATATAAATACATCCCACTCTCAATAAATCAAACAATTAGATGACAAAATGACACAGAAATGAATCTTGAAGGAAGATAACATTTTAAATTTGTCTCATGAATGGATATTTAATGATAAAAAGTTTATAAACATTCAAACGATTTCCTGTTGGAAGATTTCTGTGGAACATAATTCTGTGGAACGAATTTTTAAACTTCTTTAGTTGGTTAAAAGTTTGCGAGATTATACATGGATTGCGAGATTATACTCAGTTTTAATAAATCACCCAAAAGAAGATCGAATTCGTCAGTCTTATTTAGTTTCTTACGAAAATGCACTGATATAAATAGTTCCCACTCTCAATAAATCAAACAATTAGATGACAAAATGACACAGAAATGAATCTTGAAGGAATATAACATTTTAAATTTGCCTCATGAATGGATTTTTAATGATAAAAAAGTTTCTAAACATTCAAACGATTTCCTGTTGGAAGATTTCTGTGGAACATAATTCTGTGGAACGAATTTTTAAACTTCTTTAGTTGGTTAAAAGTTTGCGAGATTATACATGGATTGCGAGATTATACTCAGTTTTAATAAATCACCCAAACGAAGATCGAATTCGTCAGTCTTATTTAGTTTCTTACGAAAATGCAGTGATATAAATAGTTCCCACTCACAATAAATCAAACAATTAGATGACAAAATGACACAGAAATGAATCTTGAAGGAAGATAACATTTTAAATTTGTCTCATGAATGGATTTTTAATGATAAAAAGTTTATAAACGTTCAAACGATTTCCTGTTGGAAGATTTCTGTGGAACATAATTGTCCATCAAATTATTTTTCAACACGAAGATAAGAGAACAGTTAATACTTACAAATCCTTTCCAACATCCTTGTAAACTAGTTGAAATTCAGGCTTAGGTCACTTTAAAACCGTAAAGCGATTTACGCACAAGTTCTTTAAACTCATCTGCTAATAACAGCTTATCCGATGCATCCAATAGATATTATTATGCTTGAAAGAATTGAAATGTTTCGTTTATTCAGTTTCTTCCGTTTATTCAGTTCACAGTTTTCCTTCCTTGTAAGGGAGTGGTTTTCAGTTTCAGAAAAACCTTTTCTGGCTTGTTGAACAATGTCAGACTCTTTAGTCATTGTTTAATATTTATTTTATTGCAGAAGATTTCTTTCAAATCGTTGTCTAAATTTAGCTGATTATTTTGATAGTGTAAAACAATCCAGTGCACCTGTTTGTTATTTCTTCATTGTTTTTCAAAATATAACAAGATTTAAGTAAATAAGATTATGTTTTAAGGCTGCTACAAGCTAGAAAAGTTTTTATTTATAGCTTCTTAAAATTTCATTGATCTGACTATTAGATTTTTTTTGAAAAGTTGAATTGCATGAAGAATATTAAATTTTTATTAAATAAAAAGAAGTTTTATCCTGTGAAAAGGATTTCGTAATCTTTGTTTTCTAAATACCCTAATATAATCTAGATATCCACTTATACTAAAAGAAATTTCAATAGTTGCTTGCAGTGTAAACAAATTTATACATATTTAAAATACATAACCAACATATATACAATACAAGATGTATACAATACAATGTATATATATACAATATTTATACAAACAAGTTCACATATATTTACAAGTTTATATATAGAAATATTTAAAAATATGTTCTAAAAACGTATATAATCTAGAAAGTTTAAATCACAAAAAGATTTAAACCCTGAAAATATTTTAAAAAATTAAATAACTTTTACTTTTATAAAAAAAAGGTATATAATCTAGAAAGTTAAATGTTTATAATCATATAAGAATAATCCTTTGCACTTCGATGTCGCCTCAAAAGCTCATATCAACATTCACCACTCAAAAATGAAAAGTTTTTATACCTGAATAATAAGTAACCACAATATTTTGAAATTTTTAAAAATTATAAATCGAAATAGTATCCCAGATTTCTTATGAGTGATATGAAGGTCATTGAATGTGTGGTTAAAAATATAATTCTTCATTTATTTGCTTCGAAATATATATATATATATATATATATGCTTATGTGAGTGCCCAGATAGCACAGACTGTCAGAGTGACGTCACAATAAAGTCAAAAACTGTTACAGTAGTCAAANCATGCAGGTCGTTGAAGATATATATATAGTTTCATTTTTTCTTTTATTTTTTTTTTCTTTTACAGTTAACTATTTAGAAAGTATATGATGGGAAGCTAATTATGTGATTACTGTATAAAAATAGTAGTGAAATTTGAATTAAGTTTAACGTGAGAAAAATTTAGGATTCGTGTCACATCTTTCAAACAAAGCATATAAAAGGTGACAATTATTGAATTATATGAAATAAAAACGACTGATATGATTTAAAAACAACTGAGTGCACTAGCTTTATTCAGCTTGTTAACGTCACTACAGACATTATTATAAGCGTCGTTGAACAGCCGACCCAATTCTGAGTTTACGACTTCTAACGTTCACCTCCGTAGCCTTGCAATTTCGAACACAATACAGAAGAAAATGGAACTCCTGGATCAAGTATTGGACAAATCTTGCCTTCAAGGAGAACTTTTTGATGGAATTAACCCGCATATGCTTTACATGGAGAGGAAAAACCACGAAAACTTCCCCGGTCAGCCAGACGGCAAGGAGACTTTAACCCGTCATCCGCCTACCACTGAGGATATTTTACGTTAGCACTGTGCTCCGTGCGAGCAGAGAGCGGAATTCGTATCTACTAGACATTGGTGGGATTCGAACCAGGGTTACCTTATTGGGAAGAGAGAGATCTATCCACTGAGCCACCATGGCCCTAGTTCAGATTTTAACAAAATTGATAAATAAGTAATTTTAAAGCTTTTGTTTATGGGAAAATATAATGTTCAGATAAATGAAACATTGACTCCCGATGGGTGAGTGGTCAAGCATTGCTCTCTTGTGCCTCAGGTCCGGAGTTTTATCCTTAGACCGGGCAAAGTTGATAGAGCCTTTCGTCTCTATTGTGGGTTGTTAAAATGAGTATCAAGCATGCTTGGGAACTAAACAATAGGGATTCGACGTTCGGCTGACCACCAAAACAGAACATCCTCTCTGCACACCAGAGTCTAAAGTCAAGAAAACTGGTATAAGCTCATTAGGCTTTGGCCCTTCATGGGCTGTCGTCATATTAAAAAACTATCTCATATTAAAAAAATGTGACTGAATTTAATCCTGGAACAAAATATTTTTCCTCAAAGATGTTTATAAGAAATGTATGCAATGAAAAAAAGAGTTGCTTAAAAATAATTAATTTCTGTCTTAATTGGTTGGTGTTAAATTTTTGTAACCATAATCAGTTTAGAAAACAAGCATACTTAAAAATAACCTCTCCTTTCTTTTACAAAGCAATTTTTTAAAAAAAAACCTATATTTTATTTCATATATTTAAAAATAATTACTAATTTACTTATTTGTACAAAGGAATTCTATGTAAATGCAAATACGAGAAATTCTATGTTAGTCAGATCTAATTGTAAAGTACGGTAAAGTTGTTTTATTATCTGCCGAAGAGGCTGAAGTACATATTTTTATATTACTGTAAATAGTAAGGAAAAGTTCATAATGAAAGTAAGACTTGAACAAAACTTGCATTTTCTTGTTTTAGCTACCCTTTTAATTTTTGAAGAAAAAGAAAACTCATCGAAATGATTTCGAAAGGAAAAGTGATTATATTAATATTATCGAGATTGGGGATTGTTTCCTCTTGTTTCCTCTACAAAGATTTAAAGAATTAAATAATTCAATTACTTGTTTTCATTTTTCTGAAATAAAAGAATATTTTCACATAAATGTCATTTTTTTGTTATTTAGATTATCTGTCCAATTAATTAAAATGCTATATAAAAACTGAATATGCATTAATTTCCTTTTACAAAAATTTTCAAATTAAAATGGTTACTAATAAAGTAAACTTTCAAATTAAAATCTTACATTTTATCTTTAATTGCTGTGAACTTCTGAATAGTGAAGTCACATAGAAAATAGTGAAGGATTTTTAAAAGGACAGTTTGTTTTCTCCAAGAAGAAAAGAAGTGGTAGTGCTAGTGTCCCTTTATTTGAATTAGTCTTGCCAATCAAACTACATTAATAATATAAATATTTATATTTGGACCTGAAACTAAAATAATGTGATGCTTTTTTACAGCTAAAGTAACAGAAGAGTAACAGAGTAACAGTAACAGTAACAGAGATAAATAACCACTTATAACAAATTTGATATTTACTTGGTATAAGCAAATATGTACTACCAAATTTAACCGAAATTAATGAATTGAATTTTTTTACCGACGTAAAAAATTTATCATTCCGTGCTAATTTTCTTTCACAAAACATTTTCGAATCAAAAACTAAAGGAGAAAACTTAGACGTATTAGTTTCAGTAAGAAATAAAAGCACTGAACTACATACAATGTTGTAATTTTTGTCTCAAACTCAGTTTAAAATAAACTTAAAAAATTACTTAGAAATAATTCGTTTCTTTAACTTTTATCAAGCAAACACAATATTTAAATTTTTTTCCCAAAAATTCTACAAATTTAAATTTAAAAAAAAAACTTAAATGCGAAGAAATACATACACATGCATAAAAATATTCTTTAAAATTTTAATAAATATAAAAATTCAATAATGAATTTAATTTTTTTATGCTAAAATGTAAAAAAATATTTTAATTTAAATATTTAAAAAAAAACTTCTATGAAATTTTTTCAATTGGAATTAATTTAATTTTTTTAAAATTTTTTTTTACTTTTCGTAAAATTACCGAATTCAGAATTTGTAGTTTTTTTTTAAATTTTTTTTTTTATCTCGCCTTGTATTTTTTACTAACAATATCTTAGGTTAAAGGTAAAAAGCCTTCACACACAAAAACAATTAATGAGAATTTGTTGCCACTCACCTGAGATAAAATGTCGATCTTTAATAGGGGGTTCTTCTTGATCGTCTGCGTGCATCCATGAGGAAGAGTGGAGCTTTTATAGAAGACAGCCCACTGACCTCTTAAAAGTTTTGGAATTAAGGTTGCACCTCGGTTACTTTCTCGTTTTCCAAAGTTGAGGAAGCATGACGCCGATGGAACTTTTTCTACATATCACACGGAGAGTTCTTTTTTATTTGTCTTCTTTTGTTGAAAACGAAAGTTTAGAATAACTGCGTCCATTGTTCACGTACGGTAGTCAAATTAGATACGTGATAACTCGAGATATTAACTTATTTCTATCGCACTAAAATGTAAATTGATTCAAAGCATTTGATGTTTTATTGTGGCAATTGAAACCGTTTTAAATGTCACTTTTACTGAATAGTTTTAAGGAATTTTTTTTTTATTTTCGTAAGGAAAAAAATCGTTTGAAAAGATGAGGTGTTTTTTTAGAACAATCTCTTTTGAGAATATGTAAATGTGAAGTGAAGAAATACGTCCGTTTGTGTAGCTGTAATATATATGTTGATTTATTGGTTTGACGAATTTTTAACCGATTAAAATATAAAATTGATCATTATTTTTTAAAAAATCGTCTGACATATCTTTTTTATTCTCAATTTTTTTAATTACTAACATTGCTAATTTTACATTCTTGTTAGACAAATTTTCTAATTTTCATTTTGTTGTTAAGAAATATTTATTCTAATTCTGGATTTCTCTTTTTTTATAACCAACGCGGAACAGCCGACCTAATTTTGAGTTTACGACTGTTCAACTCAGTAACCTTGTAATTTTGTACCCAATACAGAAAACAAGAGACCTCCTGGTTCAAATATTGCTAGAAATTTGCCTTCATGGAGGACTTTTTGATGGAATAAACTCAGAGTTTGCGTATCGTCAAGAGGAAAACCATGAAAACCTCCCACGATTAGTCTGGCAGCAAGGGGACTGTAATCCATGATCCGTCTGCCACTGAGGATATTTTACATCCACACTGTGGTCGGTTCGAACCGGGTGCGGAATTCGCATCGACCAGGATTCGAACATCAGTCACCTCATTGGGAGGTGATTGAATGAATTTAATGAATTTAATTGAACATGAAATTTAATTCTTTATTTCCTTGTTTCAACTCATTCTTTTTAGTTGTTCTTGAATTGAAAATTAGAAGTTACACCAGGTTAGTTTACGAAAAACTTATACATCTTTTTGCTTGCATGGAAACTTAAAAACTGGCGTAAAAATTTTTTGGAGGTATGAAAATGTCGAGCGAAATGGTATCCCAAATTCCTCATGAACAACATGCAGGTCGTTGAAGGTGTGGTTAAGAATCTAATTCTTCATTTGTTTGCTTCGAAGTA